GTGCGAACCACTTTTTCGGTTTTATGAGACGGTTCTAAAAGCAACCGGTTAAATTGGCAAAGTGAACGGCGGTTAGAGGTTACACGTTTGGAACACTTATTTTAGCAATTACGTTAAATACCGACCATTCCCAGCGTACATGTTCCGTAAGCACATGATCAAAACGGTACCGCGATATTCTTGGAATCTTGGATTGGTGGTGGATGGAATCAACTCATTTTATTTTTGCCAAAGCGTTGGCACATATAAAAAACATTATAATTATAATGTTCTTTATATTGTAAGTAGGGAGTGGGGATTAATCCCTACTTTCGCTAGAAATTTTAGCGCTTCAGCTCCAAAGTGACAGACTTATAAATTTTCGATTTAACGCCTAATTTTCCAGTTTTTTCCTAAATTTCTTAAAAAAAAAATTCTCTTAAACTTCCGAAATATCCCTTTTATTTTATATTGCTGGTTATGGTGCTCATTCATTGCCTAAATATACTAATAAATGTGAATATTGTAAAACATTGATATTATCAAGCGAAATGCAATTTCTCAGTGAATTTACTGAAGCAATCGGATATAATAATAAGGATATTGCACAATATTTAAAAAATCTAATTGGGGGTGCTTTAAAACATCCGTCCGAATTTTTATTTGAATCAATAATTCAAGCTTATGATATTTTCAATACATTAATTAGTAAAAACTATGAACGTGGATTTTTAGCTAAAAGCCAAGCATCGAGCCTTATTTCAATTAATAATATTGAGAAAGTACTCGGTTTTGCCAGACAATTCTAAGAGCTGCATATCATGTATGAGATATGCATATCAATAGAGGAAGTTTTATCAAAAACTTCTACACATATAAAACATATAAAATTGATGAAGTTTAAAAAGTAAATTTCTGCCAGATTATTTAGTTTATTTTAGCATAACTAAATTCAGTAAGGCATTAAGTAAAACACGTTAAAAAAAACCTATGATGATGGACTAATACACAAGTTTATAAGCAATTTAACTTACTGCGAGTAAAAATTATAAACTTTAGATACATTATTTCAACTATATTACCCTACCTATTGTAGGGCATTATCTATGTTGCGATAAATAGTACTCTTTAAATAGTATAATAGAAGTTATAAGTGCTAACGATTTGTCGTTGCTAATATTATACTTTATACCAACAGTAACTTTTTGATCTAGTGTAACTGTATGTATTTTTTTGTTAAAAATAAACCATTTTGCAAGCAGTTTCAATAAAACAATCAATGAAATAAACATTGGGTAAATGAGAATCAACCTCCTCTGTGACGTCACAAATACTTGTTTGCGGCCTATCTTTTGGAGGCCCCTGTATACTATTCATTTACTTATACGTTTTGTGCAGTCTGGCAACACTGTACAACGTTGGCCGTAAATATAGACATTAATCGCAGACCGTAACTATGTTTTTAAAAAAAAGTATTTTCTAGCCTGATTCTATTGGAAGATCCGCAATTTGTTTACTGAACGTCGTTGTTTTAATTGTACTTTAATAGAAAATTAAAGAGAACGGAAATCGGACAGACATAAAGTTCATGAGAACAACAGAACACCTCTGAATCTGGGCACCTTTCGAACGACCCCCATATAAATAGCGATCGCCGGATGTCATTGCAATGTCAATTCTTTGACAAGGATAACGAGGTGAATTGAATAATAAACCAATAAACCTTTTGTCTTAGATTATGAATGTTTAACTATTCGAACATACAACGATAATTCTGTAATAATTTTGGGTAATGATCTAAAATGGTAGAACCAATATTTGACTACCAGTTTCGTTTAATATTGATAGGCGACAGTACTGTGGGAAAAAGCTCTTTGTTAAAATACTTTACTGATGGAAAATTTGCAGAGGTAAATATTGATGAAACGACTAATCTATATTGTGTTTTTGTTCAATATCTTTTTGCTTGTTTCTGTCTATGAATATGCCAAATTGACTAAAGTATCATAATACTGCAGGATGGCATACATTTGATTCCGACGACTAAGATGATACATAAGTTTGTAATACGCACTTAGGCTTTATCTATGCCCATTAACAGATATTTAAGAACTTTCGAAACTTCAAAGCAGCATTTTAATAGCATGATAGGTTTGTTTTTCTGCTTCTAAAGATTACTAAAAGGTTGCTTAGTTGTCGCCGTTTTGTAATCGCAAGTAAACAAAAAACAAATAAAAAATTGATGATTGGAACAGAACAGTTTTCCGTTTTAGATTGTTTTTTGTTTATGTAATAATAAAGTGAGTAGGATGGGGCATTTATGGAATCGAGCAAAATGCATACACGGGTTTGCATGCACATACGAAGTCTTGTTCCTCCGGTAATACAGGAGTGGTTGTGAACTATTAAGTTAGTATCAGAAGTTTTTACGCTGAATCTGTAAATCGCATTACTACACTTAACACCGCATTCAAAGTTATGAATTATGTACCTATGCCGAAGCGTATAAGCGCGTAAAAAAGGTGCTTAAATCACTTCTGAAACCAATCTGCTGGTGCTTAGAGGTCTATTCGAACACAAAATGTAGCCATTAAGTTGATTGTACAAACCTGGAAAAAATCCCATCCGCTTATAAACGAAATTAACGTTTTAATGCCACCTCTTCCAGATGCAATCTAACTAATTAGAATGTGTAGAATTTGCTGATCTTAATAACGTAAGATAAGAGTAAAATTTCAGCCGACAGTTTAATTTTACATTTTCTAACATACGTTTCTGAAGCAAGTCTTCCAGAGGCGTCTTTCTTAAGAGAAATCAGTAACTCACAGTATGGAAATGTTTTGTTATCATCTTAGATCCTAATTTCCGATGTTGTTCTCAGTGCCTGGTTATTAGTTGTGCTAGTTTGGGTTGGTTAGACTTTAAACTCTAATTTTTCATTAAATAATTAATCTATTTATCAATTTGTGTTGCAATTATATTTTGTTTTCGCAGTAATCGTATTTGAACTTTTGTATAATTTTCTTTACGTTTTCTTTCTTACGATATTTATTAAATGCTTTTTGATTGTTTACGTTCCTGTTTTCACTACTTGTTCAATTTGGTTACAGGTATCAGATCCTACAGTTGGAGTTGATTTTTTTGCAAGGTTAATAGAAGTCAAAGATGGAACTCGCATTAAATTGCAACTATGGGACACTGCTGGCCAGGAAAGATTTCGCTCAATTACCAAATCGTACTATCGAAATTCGGTCGGGGCTTTATTGGTTTATGATATCTGCAACATGTAGGTTAACTTTAACACTTTTGTTACAGTTTTTTATTTTTATTCATTGAATAATGTTTTATTAGGTCTAGCTTTGAACATGTTCCTCAATGGATGACTGAAGCCAGGCGTCACATCGAGCCTCATCGACCTGTTTTTGCTTTGGTCGGATGCAAGGCAGATCTAGTGAATAACGGCGGGCAGCGTGAGGTAATTAATCGAAAACAATGCACGCGTTTTGCTAACTAGTTATTCATAGGTGTCAAGAGAAGAAGCCAAAACGTTTGCAGATAGTCACGGGCTGTTCTATGTGGAAACATCGGCCAAAAATGGTTTGAATGTAGAAGAAGCCTTCAGATCAGTCACTCAGGAGGTTTACAACAGAATACAATCGGGGGAGTATAAGGTAAGCGTTTGTTTCAGTTACATATTGACGGAATCGGGATTTTTGAAACACTGTGAGGTTGGGAAACGCTATTTTATTTCATAATACTCATAAGGAACGTTGGAATTTCCGCAATATTTAGTTATTTTGAAGCTGGAACGTTTTAAATTTAAATAATAAAAAATAGACCCTTTGTGAGCTGCAGTTCTATATAATCTTTACGGCACATATGATGACCGAATTCGGTCGTTTTTTATTATTTCAGTACCGACCCACGTTTTTCATTCTAAAAATCCAAATAATTTGGAGCATTCAGCATAATATCCACATTTTTAGTGTGTTTTATTTATTTTTATTTATTACTATGCTTGAGGATCTATTTTCCTATGGAATTTTATTGATGATCACAGTTTGGGTCGCATGGATTGCTAAGCTCAATTCAAAATAAAAAAAAACTATTTTCCTTTAATTAATCGCACTTGTTGAATACTATTCGCATAAAAATATTTGCTCCGTGGCTCATCAAATGTGTTATTCTGTGATCCTCACAATGATTAATTTGGTTTGTTTTTTGGAACTATACAGAGTGATTCAAAATTGGCATAATTTCTGTGGGGGTGTTTTGGAAGTACAGGAAAAATAGTAAAAATAATTATGTGTTTTAAACTGAGCTATTTGCAAAACACTAGATCAGCAGAATGGCAACAATGTTTTTCAAGGTAATCTGCCTCATTAACATTACGTAAATACCTGTTGCTTCTTAATTATCAAAAATTCCATTCTTCTTATTCAGCCTTTGTTCATCCAGTGTTGGATATAGGTTTCTTCAAGTCTTTTCCATGTTTCCCTATCCCTATTCTGGCTGTTCTCATCCACTTTATTTCAGCTATAGTAGCTATCCATCTCTTCTGATGCTTCTTTTCGCTTCTCGAGGTCTCCCAAATGTTACCATGTATAATCACTTCCCCATATTTATTGTCGCTACGTGTGCGAGCCACTGCCATCTTAGCCTCGTCATTCTCTTCCTGATGTTAGTTATTTTAGTTCCTTGACGTATTTCGGTATTTGAAATTTTATCTCTCAATCTTACACTCAGCACAATCCTCTCCATGGTTCGTATAGTCACTCTTAGTTGTTCTGCCACCATTGTTGTTATTGCCGTAGTTTCCAGACCATAAGTGGCTACTGGCAATATACAAGTATCGTACGTTATGCGTTTTAAATGCATGGAATATTCGTATCCTTTAGGATTTTTTATATTTTTGTGTTATCTCTCCTACCATTGTTCTGATTGCTCTTTTTGTAGCTTTGCTTGATATCTTGTAGTAGCTGTTAATATTAGTGATGTAGGTTTTTCAAAATTTTTCGTCTAATCTCTTTTTTTATAACATTTTTGCGCTTTTGTTTTCGAGGCTTTTCAGATTGAATCGTCGTTCGTCATTTTCTTCTCTATTACTGTCTTCGGGTGTTTTTTCCTTTTTGGAAATAGTCCAAAAAATAACGAATTCATTTAAGAAATGGAAGTTCTCCCCCACCTATCACAAAGTTGACATCTTCAGGCTAGTAATTACACAACATTTGTATAAAAAGCTCGTATTTGCTCAAATTTATGATGCTTGGTTCCTTTAAATTGAGCCACCACCCTATATATCTAAGAATTTTGGTTCCGTTAATAAACCGCAGTATCTAGCTAATTGTGCTAATTTTTTTCTAGATTGAGGACGGTTGGGATGGAATTAAGGCTGGATTTTCTAGACCTAACTGTCTGGATTACCACTTAGCCGAAGCCGAGCCTGCCAAAGCTACTTGTTGTTAGGTATAGTGTATATATGTTTCACGGTAGGTTGTTCACTTTTATACCACATACTTTAGGATCAAAGTAGTACAATCGAAATGCAATTAGTTCAAATCGGATTTAATAGTTGCCTTTTTTGGTATAATGTATGCCTTGTATATCGAATTCAATATTTTTCGTTTTACAAGATAAACGATATCCACAATAGTTACCGTAATATGTCTTAACTAACAGGCTATCTGGATAGTGGAAGTGTGATCGTCCCATAATAAAATATACATACTGTGACTATGGATAAGACATAGTTTGTCAAGATAAATATTGTATTCGATTCACTTGGATTATTTGGCGCTGGAAACATGTTTTATTGAATTTGGAAAACCTTATTGTAGTCCGACAGTTTTATCTATTTGATATACATATTTAGGTTATTGCTGAACGTTCGTTTCTCTGTTCCAAATTGTAGTTTGTCTAGTAGAATTTAACGTGACGTCAATAATTTCATACTGGATCTAATATGACACAGTAGTGGCGATCTGAAACGATAAGACATTAGAAAATAAACAACTTATTTTTTTGTCTATAGAATTTTTTGAGATATAGGAATATGTCTGTTGAAACTTCACTGACACTTCAACATTGTTGTATAAAAAGAAATATTTTATGAATTCCTCCTGACTGTTAATAATCATCCCAAAATAAATTGAATCACAATTTTATGACCCGCTTCCCATTTTTATCTCTTGATCTATCATCAAACGAAACTTATCTCATTTTTCTAAGTTTTATAACATATTGAATTGTGTGCAATAAAATTGTGTTCAGTGACAACAATGGAAATTGACTGAAACTCAGGAAAAATAGAAAAAGTTAACTAACGAGCGCGAATAGCTACGTACTGCCTGCGAACAAGTTAACTAGCCGTCTCTGATCAACGAAATACAAGATATGTTTTGCCAGTGTCTAACTCGGATGTCTATTTGTGAAATTTTTATCTTTCGTCTCATTTCTGTTGTCTAGAATACTAAAGAGATTACAGGGTGATCCGGTTTAGCTGCTGAAATTGAGGGTTAATCCTACCCTAATTGCAATACAATGTTACCGCATTTTATTTAATTGATAATATCAAATAGTAGATTGCAGTTTGGCAATAATTTGCTCAATACGATATGACTGGATCATCCTGTATATACCTATAATGAGCACGTTAAGTACATCTAAACCAACGCCTATGAGGGTTGACGTACGAGGCTTCCACCGATTGCAAAATTTGTCACAGCTTTTCGTTGCGTACGATATTTTTCAAACAACGACTAAACACAATAATGTGCGATGTCCTTAAATATCATTACGATAGTGCATTTTAGATGTATGAGGTTTGATAACTTACACTCAGCTTAGCCCGATATCAGTCAACAAAAATACAAGAAGTTATAACTGAAATTCTGGTTTTCACTATGAAACGCTGAATTTGATAATATTTTGTAAGCTAAGTTATTTGTTGCACTTTTAACTTATATAAATAATGATAGGAAGCATTTTTGCTCTTAGGGCTTCTTTCATTTTAGATTTTTTTTTGTTATTTCCAACAAGGAGCTTTACCCACACTTGCTATTTGAAATTGAATCTTCATGTTTATGGTTACAGAACAGTTATAACGTATATTTGCTAAAATTCTCAGAACGGATGCGGTCACATAAGATAGTATGATGACATTTATTATACGTACAGAGTGATTCCTCATAAGTTGACATCCCCTTGATCGTTTACTTCAAAAAAATTATGATAAGTGACCAACACAAAAGTTGATTAATTTTACTCAAGTTTTTCAAGTCTGAATTTAAAATAAAAATATAACAATACAACACCGAAATGTCAAAATTTGACCTAAAGTCTTTATGAAGCACAGGATTTTTTTCCTGATTTTATAAATATATATTTTGCCTATACTTCTATTATCCGTTTTTCCTATATTACGTTTTAAAAATTATAAATAGCAACAAATCAAAGTAGCCTTGAAATTCGACAAGGCGCTCCCTCCACCCCATAACGTTCGCCCGGCAGCACTTTTTTGAATGAGAATGTTGATATCTGGATTGGAGAAGCGGGTCGTATCCAATGGCCTCTAAATAGTCCCAACCTAACGCCACTTGATTCTTTTCTCTGGGGTTATTTATAGAATATTGTGTAGGAGACGCAATAAAATAGTGTGCAATTAACGCCTTAAAATAGTGTGCAATTAACGATATCAATATTAATCATTACCAATATATTCAAAACGTTATAGATAAAATTGAAGTAGATTATAGACCATTAATAGCGTTAAAAGCGTTAAACGGAGGTCATATACAAAATCAGTGATATTAATGGTTTTGATTTTATTTATTTATTTGCTTTGAAAATTGTAGTAGCAATTAATTCCGTTATGTTCTCTTTCTATAGTTTTTTGTTTCATTTCAGGCTACTAATTTGTTGCTATTTAAAATTTTCAAAACATAATACGGAAAAATACGGCTAATAGAAATCTATATATTTCTGAAATCAGGGAAAAAATTCAATCGACCTGTCTACAAATATATGGGATGTTTCATTTAAAAAATACTATGTCAAATTTTGATATAGTCTTTGACGTGTTTTAGTTTTTATTCTAAATTCAGATTTAAAGAATTTTAGTAAAATTAAACAACTTTTGTGTTGATCACTTTTGCAATTTTTTTGAAATTACAATTACATCCAGCTTAACTCACGGATCACCTTCTCACGGTTTCTACTGTCAACTTTGGACTTTTCTACAAACCGCACAAATTCGTTATTGAAAGGTTTTTAAATTTGCTATAAATTGTTTACATTTACAATAAAAGTACTTTTAAAAAAATAACAATAGTTTCGATTTTAATGTGAAATTTTATCTTTTTTTCGATTTTAGACGTATTTCGTACTGCTTTGTACGTACATTTGAGGACATGCACATGACTGCAATAGTAGTTCTTTTGACGCGATTATTATAACAAAAACCCAACTCAATTATTAAGTCAACTACCTTTTTATGTTCTGGACAACATTTGTAAATAAAATATACAGACCTTTTACATATAATGAAAATGTTTATCATTTTAAGGATATTCAGTTTTATCAAATTACCCGCCAGCGTCCAGGACACATTAGTCTGAGTCATTAGTCATGAGTCCCTCAAAAGTAGCGTCATTTTTCTTGAGGTGTTGGCTGGGGGTATTTGGGGGAATACAGTAATCTGATAAACGAATTGTTTCAATGCGTAAGGCTCATTAGATAAATATTAGTCATTTTCATCCCTAACTACCCTCACTTTACAGTGTTTTATTAGGTTTGATGACTGATTGATTGATTAGCCTGACAAATGACCACTGGGGTACTTTAAAAAATCGCGTAATAGCGAAGCTGAAAGTGCTTCTTTAAGGTCTAATAAGTTCGAGAAATAAACTCTTTTTAAATCCTTTTTCCTGTAACTCTCCAACTAAGCCCTAGTAACCCCTTAAAATGAATATGACTATAATCGTATAAGTTGTACGAAACAGTATCTATTTCAGTTTTAAGGAACATACGAAAAAGGACAATGGTATTTGCAGTATCAAAAAATATGAAATTTTTAATTTATAACTTTAGATTAATGCAATCTACAATCGTTATTCAATAGATTTTTGTTATTTAGTTTTATTTTTTATTGTTTAGCTATTATTTGAAATAGACCCGCGCAATGGGAATATTGTAATTTTTCAACCATTACATTAAAAATCGCAGTTTTATAAAAATGTATTGATTTAGTTTGATTAAATTCAACGTTTAGGAAAAAACTCTGTATTAACAATGCAATATTGATAAACAGTGCTCTTATCGCGGAATAAGAACGAACTATTATTCATCAAAAGATATTCAAGAACTATAACCTAGAGGGTATCCTACGAGTCACTTAGGCTCAAGCTGGAATTCAATAATGACTCTCTATTAATCTAGTCTTTGGAATGTTTTCATAAAATATTGTTAAGAGAATTGTATTAATAATAGTGTATTCCTGTATATTTATTACATTTGAAAAGAATCTATTGTAAGAAGATTCTTTTTGTATAAATAAAAATAAACTTTTGAGAAGACATTGGTCGTTTATATCCGTAGTTAGCACCTAGTTCCTATTTAGTAGTTAACCATAACTTTGAAAATCCACTTACCCATTATTTTTAAAGGCAGTTTTTGAGAGAAATTAATTAAAGCGCTCGGGGTAATAAACTGAAAACAATAGAATATTATACATTCAATCACTGATATCAGATATTAATAATACACTGCTACCTATAAAAAAATAAATCTGTATAGTTCATTTCAAGATATTTAGATTGTTTATTTATCGTGAATGGAAGTTGTGGTTTCAGGCTTTTCTTGATTGTTGAAGAATATCCAGAAAGTGGTTTAATTTATATGCTAGTGCCTATAGAATTTGCTTCTAGAACTAAGCTGTTTGCAAGGTTAGCGGATGAAATATCACGGAATGATTTAAGGTGCAGTGGGGTAATTACCAAAATGGGGCAAATGTCTTGATGTTGATGGGATCTTGGTGTGATTTTTAAACATAATTTATCCGAGTAAATGTGATTCCATCTGTGCAATGAAACACCTATAATATTCGCATTTGCATTCCGCACTAGAAATGACACAAACCAGTATGTTTGAGTCACATGTTCTATGTTGTGTGACTGTTCCAAGTATCTGATTTTGTCACATGTTAATTTGGGCCCTTGATAGATATTGGTTTGTATCTCCAACCGGGCTGTAGCTCATTGTTTCATTGAAGGATATTCACGCCACTTGTTCATAGTAATTTGGGTGCGAATGTGCTGGGTCAGCCATAAATTATGACCGAATGACTTGTTCCTTTATGTACCTATGCACGGGCTGATGCATGCATCTTTATAGTATTCTAGTACAAAACCAAAACCATTTAATTTAGTTTGTTGGCCTAAAATATTTCTTTTAAATATACATTGGTATTCACCAACAATTTTATTCGCGTATGGTGTGATTCGACTGAGTAGAGCCGAACAGGCTTGACAGGACACATAGGCGCAATTCAGGAGAGTGGAGCCACGGTAGTTTGTACATATCATCTTATCGCCTTTTTTATGTATTGGTATGATCACCCTCTCCTTCCATTTCGATGGGATTATTTCTTCATTCCAAATACGTGTCAACAAATGATGTATAGTTCTATGACGTGTGTCTCCACCATATCTTAGGCATTCTGCCAGTATTCGATCCAGTCCAGGAACTTTATTACTTTTCAGTTTTTTATAGCTTCAATAGTCTACCAAACTAGGCGCTTTTATATTTGTTTCTGCTGTTTGGAAAGTCAAGCGCTTCTATACTTTTTTCCAGGCTTGCTATATGCTTTCCAGGAGAATACCTATATCAGTAAGTATTCACGTTTTGCTCTTACTAAAATATGGCCAGAGTCTCCATCTGTACCTCTGCACCTTTTTACATCCAGAATATTGCTGCTATGTCTTGCGTCTACTAGAACATGATCTATTTGGTTTCTTGTTACTTCATCGTTAGATATCCATGACTGCTGTGGATGTTCTTGCGTGGGAACCTTGTTGATTCTTGCTTTGTAGATTGATGTTGCGAAATCAATAAATCGTCTTGACTCGGGGTTGCGCCTTTTCCTCTTTTCCTATTTTGGCATTGAAGTCGCATTATTTTCACATCCTGCTTAGGTATTCTATTCAGTACCTATTCGGGAGTATCATAGAAGGTATCTTTATTTACTTCATCTGAGTCTTCGATAGGAGCGCGTACTGCTATAAGAGATACCTTATACCACTTACTACGCATACTAATGCAGCATATTCTCTCGTTTATAGGGTGGAATTATATTATTTTGTTCGATAGTTCTTCTCTGATAAAAAAAAGCCTGTCCCATGTTTGTGTCTATCTTCGGATCCACTGGAATATGGAATATGGAATATTACGCATTCATGATGGCAACGTTTAAGACATATTTATGAATTTTGGAAATTTATAGGATTAAAAGGTGGACTTTTACAGGCTATTCAAAAGGACTTATCACATTTACCCCACTGCACCTTACTACTGCCGTTCTTCAGTTCTCCTCTTATCTCGAAAGTATGACTAAATTGGCAAATAATTTGGTTTCAAAACACTTTAAAACGGAACTTTTCCTTTAAATTGAGATTTTATTGTTCAGCCATGTTTTATGCCTTTATTCTACTTGAATCGTATTAAATTTTAATCTGGAAAGTCAGTTAGCTTACGTATTTAACAGTCTTTTTACAACTCATGTTCAGTTGTTCAAACAAAATCTCAACTGTTTATAAATTTGTTCATACTTTACAAGGTTGTATTCGGTTAACGTCGAAACAATAATTTACACTATTCGATTTCTTTCAGCAATATGTTCAATTAATTGTGTCAATTGGTGATAAATTCCCAATTAGTTGTTGACGAAATGGTACTTGGATTATGATGCATAGTACGCTATTTTTAATTTCTCAAGGAAAGTATTCTATTTGAAGGTTTGAACATTTTCGTGCCGTAAATACCGAAGAAGTAGGTAGATCTATTTGCATTACCTGGGATATTTGGAACATGATAATCACTAGTATTATAATCTACAAACTTTGTGCTAGAAGGTAATTTCATTTCTATAATATCATGATGCAACCCTAATTCTATATCTATAATTGAGGTATAATTTTAAGAGGTTTGATAGTTGGAGGCAAATATAAAGTTGGGTTCACAAAGTACCATCAATTATGCGCTGAAAAGCTATGTAATTAACCAATTTATAAAAACATGTATGGTATTTTAGAATGAGATCGGTGTGCATATTTATAGCGTCGTTTGTGTTGTTCACCTCAATCGCTATCCTATTGGAAAAAGAACCTGTACCAAAAGGAGACATGGGACTGAGCATGGTAACGTTGTGAACAGATATACACTGATGGACAAAATTAGCGCACCATCTATAAGTTTCAAAGAAAAACTATTGGAAAGTATACATACCTTTATCAAAATTCAAATTATTGTATTTTATACTCATATGAGAATGTTTTCGAAAGAAATATTAAAACAAAACATGAATCACTAGTTTGTGGAAAATATATTTTAAATTCAGATAAAGTTTCCGTCTTTAACCGATTCAATAGCTTGTATTGTCGCCTCTAGCTCGAATAACCAAAAAGGTTTGTAATAAATTCTTCGGGTATCTTGTGTTATTCTTGAAGAACCGCGTTTTCCAGTTCCCACTCTAACTTCATCAGTAAACAAGACTTTCTTCGAGTCATCCAAATCCCAATCCACGTGTTCTCGAGCAAATCTTTTGCGGGATGTCTTGCACTCAATCCAGTTTGGAAAAAATCGCAATATTTCGGGCATTTTAATTAGATTTCTTAACTAATTTCCGGTAATAAACTGATTTATTAAAGCTTGCAGTCGTATAAAACGATGGTCCGCTTGGTTTGTGGATCTTGGTCGGCCTTGCCTGGTCGTCTAGGATGGCAACCTGTTTTCCTAAAACACTGAGGACATCGACCAATGGTGGTGTGATGAACACCCAACCTTCGGGCAACCTCACGTTGCGAATACCCTTCTTCCAACAAGGTGACAATTTTGACCACATCAAGCTCACTTAAATTTCTTCCTGGGGACATTTCAATGCGAATACACTTTAGTTACACACACAAGTTAGGACAAACGTAAGAAAATTGAATCGAAAACAGTACCACTCTTGCTGAAAACAATGATGAGAAGTTACAAATGACACAAAACAAGTAGAAATTTGCATTGGAATAAATTCCAAATCAAATTCATTCCTGAGTTTCAGTCATTTATTGTCTCAATCAAAATACGTTTCGGTGTATTTTTCCACCATCATCAGTTTTTCTAAAATAACAGAAAAATTCGAAAATGTATAATTGGTGCGCTAATTTTGTCCATCAGTGTATCAAATTAATCAAACATTATTTTCTTGGGTAAGTTTTATATGGTTGGGTCGGATTTATGGTCTCAAAACCTTTTTGGTGGGTGTTTCACATCAAAGAATTTCAAGAGAAAAATGCTCTTATTTCTTGATAAAGAATGAATTCTCTTTAAACGGTAATCAAAAACTATAGATGTAGTGGCTATCTCGCACACTTATGGCGTAAGAGAAAGCGCATAAGAAAAAAATTCAATTAGTTAGTAAATAAGTTGATTTAGAAAAGTTGCGAGAAGGAAAGTACTACTAAAAGGTACATAGAGAAGAGTATATTTTTACTATAATAACTATAAGAATAATATATTTTTACTATAATTTAACTAAATGAGATAAAAAACAGAGCAATGTGAATATAAGCCTGTAAAATTATTATTTTTCATATAGCCCAATTTGTATTCACGGTTTAGTTGATAAATTAATTGTAATCATAATTTTTGAAGCAAAAGACACAACAAAAATGTTTTCATACCGGAGGAAGACAACAGTTTGGTTATTTTAAATGGTATATTTGACTTTTTGGGACCGCTCTATTTAATTTTTGCCAACTTTTATGATATAGCTATGCTGAACTTCTGAGTAGTTTTTGAGATATGCGAGATTTTTCATGATATTTGGCTTCATTGACTATGGAAGCTGGAAATGAAAAACTGAGAAATTGGTTAGATATACTTAGTATCCACTGAAATATTCATTTACATTTTTGAGATAAAAAATGGAGGTATCTAAAAATCAAGTTTAAATCTGATTTAGGCTCTTTAACTAAGTTTTTGCAAATGAAGACTAGCACTTTTTATATTTGTAGTGTTCTCCGTCAAAAAATTAAAAAAAAAATATTAATTGCGCTATGTAGCTAAAATGCACAGCTTTGAAGATATACAGTAGGGTGGCCCTTAGTCACATAGGTAAATTTTTGTATCATATTTTTTTTCGTCTCACAGTTAGATATGTTCTATTACGAACAAAAATCATAATGTATGAGAAAATGCTATTTATTATAAGTACGCTCATTAACCAAGCACTCAGCAAGGAGTTTGCTATTAATATTTAATTTATTAAAAATGTGAGAGAAACAAATAAATATTCTGAAAAATTATTTATATTATCAAATTGTGAAGGCTTTCACGGCCGGTTGAATCACATTTAGAAATGTTTTTCGGGCCTTGAAACCGTGGTCCAGTGGAATTTCTTCCTGACGTTTCGTCCACAACTGCGGTAGACATTATCAAAGGCGATGAGGCAGTGGTTGGAATGGATACAGCAAGAACGAGTTTAATAGACGAATTCCACCAAGAAACAGTGGAGGTCGTCCGGAGAAAACAGATACGCATGATGAGCTTAAGGGTTGGGCTTGCCTCCCATACATACATGGAGTCACGGACAGGATCTGCAGGAAACTGGAGAAACACAGAGTCAAAACAGTTTTTAAACCAACTCGAACAATCCAACAGGCTTTGAGATCGGCAAAAGACAATCGGGATCTTTAATCAGCAACAGGAGTCTACAGAGTTCCATGCAGTTGTGGCAGAGCATATATCGCACCACAAAACGTAGGGTAAACACTAGGATTACTGAGCATAAAAGAAGTTGCAGATTAGGACAAAAAGAGAAAAATCAGCAGTAGCGGAGCACGCACTGCTAGACGGCCACCAAATGCGTTTCGATGAAGTGGACATTTTGCACCAATCTCAACGGTATTACCCGACACTAACCAGAGAGGCCATTGAGATCTTTAAACATGACAACAATTTCAATAGGAAAGAAGAGGTGCTTAATTCTGATTGAAAACGCGTTTTGCGGCAAACAGCGTGTGTTCCAAAGCAAGGGAAGCTCCGCCCACTTCTGACGCATGAGCTCACACTGCCGGGCCGCATAAATATCACTACTAATACTTTATCTATGATAAATACGACAGGGGATCCAGTAGAAGAAGAATACGGACCAGTCTTAGTTGGAAAGCATGGGAGATCACTTCGCCCACTGCCTCATCGCCGTTGATAATGTCCACTGCAGTTGAGGACGAAACATCAGGAAGAACTTCCCATGGACCACGGCTTCAAAGCCCGAAAAACATTTCTACATGTGATTATTTATATTCTTTGGGGAGCTCTCCACCTTCACGTTGATGGCACCTGATCCACACGTGAAACTAGTTGACACTACAGTGCCTTTTTTTATTTATACAAAGTTGTACTCGTATAAAGCCACGGTAGTTACTTAAAACAAGTCTGCCTTTGTTGGTTGTCGCGAGTGTTTTGTGTGAACTCTTGTCGACAAGTTCTTAGTGTACTGTTTTTTAACTTGCGTCATGTAAGGTTAAACTTACGTGAAAGCGCAAAGTTAGCAGTTAAGGAGTTGGCTATATATTGGCAAAAAGCAGGAATTCCTACAAGGGATGAACAACACTGCATAACGAGATTGGAAATATTGTATCAGAAATGGAGGGATTTACAAAAGTTACCTAAACGTAAATCGGGGACTCAAAAGAGGAAAGTTGATGATCCTTTCCTTGAAACATTAGACGACCTTTTTGATATTGGTCACAATGGTGCGATGTAAATGCTAAAAAATCAAGAAGATAAAACATTTTTAATTCTACAAAGGCAAAAAGGACGACTTGGATGTATGCTTGGGATTGAGCCCAAGTTGGCAGATAAAGACAAAAATTCAATGAAAAATGTATTAAATTGGAAGAGCGTAAAAAAAGGCTTTAGGTGGAAATGGAAACTTTGGGTGACTAAGTTGCTTGCATTTTTTTGAGAGCAATTTTTTATATAGTTCTGTTTCTAAAAAATTTGGGACTATATTCTTCTATTGATAGTAGTCTAAGCGAAGTAGAAAAGTTTGAAGATATAGAAGCAGACGAACAAGGCACGTGAGCTTAGTTCAGCTGTGCAGTAGTTTTCGGATTACATAATGAACGTATCTTCATGATTGCGTCTCTTCCGAAACATACTTTTGCTCTTTGTATCACCAATCGCTGTTTTGCGCCCTTTTTAGACTTGAAATTTTTTTACCAACTAAGTTTCGTCCTTAGTTCACTGCTTTTTATTCTTTTAATTTCAATCTTGTTGACATGAGATTGTTTTGAGTGTGTTTCATAGTTTTGACCGCCTGATCGTTTTATTTTATGTAATTTTAAACTCTCTTGAGACAGGAGTGACCATGATTGACTTATTTAAACCAATGTTAATTTTAATATAATTTTTTAGTATTTTAACTGGATAGTCTGATGGTTGTGATTTAATTTTTAATCTGTTGTGAAGTTGAGTTTTAAGTTCATTTTTTTTTAAATTTTTTAATTTGTATTGTATAACAATGTCACACACTACGTGTTGAAACTCCACCAGGCTATAGGCTAAAAACCCCTCTGTTTTCCATTTTAGAGCCCTGAGGATGACTTGAATAAAGTCGAAACGTTGGCCCATGAAAAAGTAGTGTTTTATTTTGCCACCATCCGATGACCGAAAATCCGACTATTGAAAAATTAATTATTAATTTTTGTTAGTTAATTTTTGAAAAGATTTAATATATCAACTGATTTCTTAAGTACCCCCACTTGACACCTGGGAATTCCGAGAAGATTATCAGAAAGGGTTAAATATTAAAAAAAACTTATTAATTGTTAACGATGTCGCAGAAAAAGGACAAAAAAGTTAATACAAGAGTATAATAATATTATAACAAAGGATGAAAGTCAAAAGCAGTTTCTTTTACTTACAAGTTGCGAGTGATTATGTTCAAACTTATCCAGATTGTAAGAAATATACGCTGCTTCAAAAATAATTATTTATGTTGTTGTACTAAATTTGCATTTAATTTTGAAGTGAGCAAATATTTTATAATAGATTAAATTAAGAAATCATTAAATATAATAAAGAAGTTTATGATTTATTAAAAAACCTAAAAATGTACGCGTTTGTGGCACTTTTAAAAATTGTCCTATAGGGCAAACTTTTTTAAAGGATTATTATTTTATTAAGTCGGAAAGGTTCTCGGGGGTGAGACCCTAAAAATTCGATAGTTCAAAATTAAGGACCATCCTAATATACAGAGTGACCCAACATAAGAGTGCAATGCATGAGTATCTTCGAAACCGTTAGAGATACGAAGTCGGTTAAATTAGGAAAAAGTTGCGCAATCTGGGGTCATGTACATGGCGTTTTAAAAAAACAAGTGTTTCGTTGAATGTGATAAGTGATTCTTCGGATTTTGGTCTTATTCTTTTTTGAAGTTATTTCAAATCCCATTAAAAATAAAAAAATACTTTGGCATGGCACCTTTCTGATGTCTACAAGATGGAGTCTCTGAAAATCTATTCCAAAATTTCGTTTCTTAGAAATCATGATCAACTTTCGTTTTTTAGATGGACCGAAAAAAGTACATAACGATTAGATAGTTCTTTTAAAAGCGGATTCAACGATGTCTCACAGAGTCTTATGCCTATTTTACATATACATATACATTGATTGAACTTTGGCCAGTCCCTTTTACATCTAATTTGAAATTTAGAAAAAAACATTAAATACAAAAGTTGTAGATAATAACGTCTAGTTTATTTTAAGATTATACCAATTGATATAGGGTGTCTCAAATTGAAGTGGCATTACATTTTTTTAAGGGGAATAACGCACTTTTTATGGCATATTTTATTTGCAATGCAATGGGGTGGACTGCTGTTGCTTCAAGGTTGGACGCTATCAACTGAGTTTCTCCAGAAGTTTGAATCTCTTGGCGCGCCTATAGGGCCACACTATAGAATTGGAACCTTTTGAAGTGGCGTTACCTCATGATCCAGGAAGTGAAGCGTCGTTTTGCGTAAGCCCGGGAATCTGTCCTACGGCTGAAGCCACGACAATTTTTACCCCGTAGACGGATTACGATTTGTGTCGAGCTGGTTATAGAAATCATAAGAAACCTTAAATATCCTGGAACTCTCCAGAAAAAAGTTTAAAGCATGTGTATATATTCAATACATCCAAATTGTTGCCTACTTTCGGTTTAACCGGAAAATTTCAAATCTGAACCTTTTCGGATTATCCATATAATGGTAGAGCAAGCTCGTTATGGGATTTCCTGCACACAAAATACTTTTGTAGCACGGCTTGGGTTGGTGTTTTAATATAGTTTTTTAGCATCAATTTTGCCAAAAATATGGCTACCCAATAGAAGAGCAGACGGTGACAACAGAAGATGGTTACATTTTAACGATGCATCGAATAAAATGTTCTCTCAACCGCACAGGATGTCACGAAAAAAGACCCGCTGTCCTCCTATTGCATGGGCTTTTGGGTAACCTCGATTACTACCTTTCGTTTATATTATTTTTAAAGTCTGGTCACTTTAAGCTAGTTCTGCTGATTTTGTCTCGGCCCGTAATCAATCGTTGGCGTTTCAATTAGTTGATAAAGGTTATGATGTGTGGTTGGGCAACAATAGGGGAAACACCTACTCAAGAAACCACATAATGTTAGATCCAAATGAAGACAAATCATTTTGGAACTTTAGGTATGATTTTATTACTGTTCTGATTTGCAATATTATCAGCTTTGTTATTTGTTTTACAGTTTTCATGAGACGGGAATGTACGACCTTCCTGCAATGATCGACCATATTATACAAAAAAGTCAAGTTTCTAAAGTTACCTTTATCGGTATATCTCAAGGCTGCACATCCTACATGGTTTTATCTTCATTAAAACCCGAATATAACGAAAAAATACTGCTCGCAAATCTAGTGGCGCCTGTTACTACTTTTTATCCTACGAAAAGTATAGTTCTAAAAATATTAACGTTTTTCAATTTTATAGTAAAGGTAAGACAAATTAATTACTTATAATGTATTAAATCAAGCTATTAGCGATTTTTTCTCAATGTTGATTTTACTGGAACTTTCGCATAAATCGCATTTAGTAACTAAGTAAGTTAAAAAATGTCACTCGATTCCAATGGTTATCAATGATCAGAGTCTCGTTATAATATTGTAGCATTTTGCATATCCACTTTCTGTTCTGTTCATCCTTTCCTATTTAAACCATTTTTCCAAATACTGATCAAGTACAACTTATACTTCGATATCTTCAGAACTTTCTTCAACACGGTTTCCAGTTTACTTTTTAACCTTCGTCTTTAAAATTGTTCTTCCGGGTCAATTATTTCACGAATGTTGTCAAAAATATCCTTATTTACCGGAGAAATGTCTTTGCAATATTTGATTTGGTGAGGGTTCTGGGATAGGGATAGAGATTAACTCATTTTCAAAATAGAAAATCAGATTGTCTGCAAAGTGTATTCTCGACGCATTCACTCTCTATAGGACAATTTGTAATTCCAACAGTTTGGTAAGAACACGGGCTCTGAATATTGGCAAGCGAAAAACTCTCAAACTTGCATATACTTCCACTCTTTACCCTGTAATTCGGGCAGTTATCAACATTTTTCAGAAATTTAAAAACTCATAAAAAGCCCATAGACTTGGCGTAAAAAGTTATGTCAGGCCTAAAGTTCATTTTGGTGACCGTTTCACCGCCAGGGTATCCAAAAAAGTGGTGCAAGTTTATTTTATTTAATATGGAGATAATTAAGGTTTTGCATTTGAACAATTTAAAAAATACGGATTTGTTATTACACTAATTTTGTATTTTTTGAATATTAAATTTAGTTAAATATATAATGTAAACTTTTCAAAATTGTTATTAATAAAAACGTATAATTTTAATAAATTCGAAAGGACTTGCAGCACTTTTAATGTCAGCAAAAAGCAAAAATCTTACATTTACAAAATGTAACATCGGGAACTCAATTGAAACAAACAAAAATTAGAACTAAAAGTTTTATATCTACAAGGCAACCAGGGGTAAAGTAATGCCAAACTTAAAACCAAAAGCTGCATCATGCCACGTGGATAAACTTAAAAGAATAAGAAATAAAAATAATGCATAGCACTTCAGTTGCTTTTGGAAAAATTAAACTCAATTCAAAGTAAATAATGCATAGATCATAACAAATCTTTACCAGCTTTCTGAAAACTGGCGCCCCATTCCCCATTTTCTCTCCATTAATCCTCAAAAAGTCCACACGGCATTTAAACTCTTCTCTCTCTTCTCTTTGAAGGTTCATTTTCAATAATAGTTATTAGACTACTCACGCATTGTCAGTTTTCGTTACACTCTTAATATATTTTTCACTTTCAGAGATTTCTATATTTTTACGGGCATTTTGAACTATTTGGCGAGCAACAGATCGAAACAAAGTTATTCAGGTATCTGTGTATTGGTCCTCATAAGGTAGCCAATTACATTTGCTTAGAACAAATACTGACTTATGCAGGGGGATTTTCCGATCAAAGGAATTATGTAAGTAGCAATTAATTAAATATGCTAAATACATTAATACATATGCTATCAGTACAGGTTAGATGCTAAAATGCAATGCAAGTAGAGTAAGTATCGTTTTTGAAATATGAATACTGAAATTGAAAATGTGAAATATGAAAATGAAATGATGAAACTGTTTAGATTTAGTAAAATAAGTTTTTTTTGGGAAAAGTTACAGATTAGATAAATTAAAAGACCAATATTTGCAAAAAAACGTACTTCATAAAGCCTGCCACTCACGCTCGGTCGAATGTAGCAGTATGACTTTGTTGGATGCGAATGCCGCGTAATTTGGCTGAAAACACACACGTAACAAGTGTGCAGTACGAGAGTGACTAGTAATAATAATTATAAGAAATGGAAATATAATATATAGTTTATAAGTTTACATCCCTTGTGATTATAATTTCCTCAGCAAAAGCACAACCGCTTTCATATTATCTGGTAGGTATCTCCATTTCCTTTTCATTTGAGGTCTGATAATGCACTTAGATACTACTAAAATCTGCCGCAAAATGGTGTGGTTACTATCTGAAATTCTCAAGTCGGCCCCTGCCTAGCATACAAGGTCGAAGTAGGAGGTTTTCTTCGGACACGGCTAAACTGCTTCCTCTGAGATTTAAAGAACTCCTTATTTGAAACATTTTTTACTAGTATCATTAATTTCTGAAATATTTCAGCTTTTCAGTTTCAAAAATTTTTGTAATGTTGCTCCTCTGTTAATTAGTTCATTGTGTGTCACATTTGACCTTGAACGTACATGACTGAACGTGTTTTATACTGCATTTTAATTTATTGTGCCAGTGAACGTGGCAAACTTTAAATGACTGTTATTTACTAATTATGTACTTGTTTTCAGGACCTCTTTCCATTTCACCTTTCAGTGAGCCCTGCTGGTGCTTCCACTAAACAAGTAATGCATATAATTCAAAACAGAATATCAGGTACTTATTTTACACCCCAAAAAAGCGATATACTTTTTTGTAATTTGTAGCTTAATTCTTAAGTTTTTATCTCAAGGATAAGATATGTTGCTTCCTGATTTTTCATAACAAATAATGGAAAAAAGACCGATTTTTATTTTTTTTTTTTTCGATTGCCGTTTTAGTTGAAATCAAAACACATTTTTTTAATACTACCGAATTTTTGTGAACATTTGCTTCTCGTCTTCTTCTTTGCAGAAGCTTTAAGGCTTGTTTCACCCATTCGTTTGCCCGTCTTGGGATTCCGACGACCAGCTGTCCTTCCAGCTCTTGGGAGGTCGTCCTAGTGGTCTGCCGGATGCTGGTTTTCCATTTCGGGTGATTTTTGCCAGTCTGTGGTTCTCCATCCTGGATATGTGCGCGTTTCAAAAGCGTCTCCTAGCACGAGTCCATTTAACCTCTGTCTTCCATTCTACCTTAATTTCGTTACCCCTTCTTTGATCCCATAGTATGTTCCCTGTGATCACCATGGTCTCATTTCATTGGTTCGTGCCATATTTGTGTCCTCGCTGTGTCAGCTCGGAGCTTCGAATCAAACATTTTCAAAAGTTTTTAAAATAATGCTTAATAACAAAGTTGAAAATCGATTTTCAACTGTTAACTGGATTTTCGATTTCAATAATTTTCTCAAACTCTCCAAGTGTGTCAAAAAGAATGACGCCAATTTGGAATCACTCTGTATTTTGTTTTGAAGTAAAACGGTAACCAAAAAAACTGTTATTAAAAATTAAGAGTCAACATTCCTTGCGTTCAAAATGATAGCCAAAGACGAAAATAATAAATAAATAATAAAACATGAACGAAAAAAAAAACTAAAATAAAATTATTAATTGATACAAAAGTTATGATACTTTGAATTTTTCGAACAAATCTGGTGCGTCACTTTTTGGGAACTACTAATTTCAATTAATGTTTTAACAATTTTTTTACAGGTCAATTTGCCCAATACGATCATTCTGACCAAAATCCACAAAAGCTTACAGCTCCGATTTATAACGTTTCGAGAATAACCACCCC